TTGTTTAGACTTGATTTAGTCCTGGTTTAGTCCTTGTTTAGACTTGATTTAGTCCTGGTTTAGTCCTTGTTTAGACTTGATTTATTTCTGGTTTAGTCCTTGTTTAGACTTGATTTAGTCCTGGTTTAGTCCTTGTTTAGACTTGATTTATTTCTGGTTTAGTCCTTGTTTAGACTTGATTTAGTCCTGGTTTAGTCCTTGTTTAGACTTGATTTATTTCTGGTTTAGTCCTTGTTTAGACTTGATTTAGTCCTGGTTTAGTCCTTGTTTAGACTTGATTTATTTCTGGTTTAGTCCTTGTTTAGACTTGATTTAGTCCTGTTAATTTTACATCTGCAGGTCGTATGCATAAGCCGTTTATATGAATGGACATATATTCTAGTGTCTTAGCATTTTGGCGGTGAATTACTTCGTGGTGCATAGACCTCGACGCAGATTCATAAATCAAAAATGACGGTGACAAGGCGATGGCGGCAGCGTGAGTCGAGCTGAGTTGATGCAGACGTTGACGGTCTTTTTGTGGACCGCGTAGTAGCAAGTGGTTCTATCTCCGCTGTTTCCCGTTTGTCTCTGGTTTGTTTAAACTGTTTTCCGCAATAGCGTCACATGACCGATGTCACGAACCTAGAAAATCAGGAAGGCACAAGTCACAGTGACGTGGTCCAACAAGGGCAACTACAGCTCCTACGTCAGCGTATCAGCGTTTTCAGGCGTCCACACAGTACCAGATCAGATCCGTACTCAGATGAATTCGTGGGAGATGGCAGCACCAGATCGTTCCGTCTCTGAGGCCATTTTCCATCGGATTAGTGTGAACAAACACTGCGTCCACAACGAAAACGACTAGTGTGGACGGGGCCTCTATCTGCGTAAAAAACTGCCATGCCTGTAGTTTAGATCTGTACAAATATTTTCTGAAATGTGCTGCTTGTATCAGTTTGTCAGTTCAGGTTTCAGTGTTTTTGTCAATTCTTCTGGACGATTTCAAAATATGAACTTTGAACTAAGTCCCGTTATCGCATAAATTACAAATCTAAACACAATTCAATATTTTCCCCAAACACATTTATTTGAACAAAAAATAAATGTTAAATTGGGGGGAAAAAAATGACCTTTCCTGAATAATATATGTTTAAATTAAAATTACATTGTTTTGTTTTGTTTTTTATAATCGTTCATTTGGTTTATTATAATCTTTTAAATCTGTATCAAGTCAAAATTGAGTTTGAAATGACAATACGACTCTTTGCCAATCACAGTTTATCACCTTTGCCTCACCAATCACCTCTTGTCAACATATTTTTACAAGAAAATTTGACCTAGTTTAGTCCTGATTTAGACTATAGTTTCAGTCCTACTTTAGACCTGATTTAGTTCTGATTCAGTCCTGGTTTAGTCCTGTTTTAGGCTACGGGTTTAGTCCTAGTTAAGGTCCCGAGTCCCTGATTTAGTCCTAGTTTAGACCTGGTTAAGTTCCTGATTTAGTCCTAGTTTAGACCTGGTTAAGTTCTTGATTTAGTCCTAGTTTAGACCTGGTTAAGTTCCTGATTTAGTCCTAGTTTAGACCTGGTTAAGTTCTTGATTTAGTCCTAGTTTAGACCTGGTTAAGTTCCTGATTTAGTCCCTGATTTAGTCCTAGTTTAGACCTGGTTAAATTCCTGATTTAGTCCCTGATTTAGTCCTAGTTTAGACCTGGTTAAATTCCTGATTTAGTCCTAGTTTAGACCTGGTTAAGTTCTTGATTTAGTCCTAGTTTAGACCTGGTTAAGTTCCTGATTTAGTCCTAGTTTAGACCTGGTTAAGTTCCTGATTTAGTCCCTGATTTAGTCCTAGTTTAGACCTGGTTAAATTCCTGATTTAATCCCTGATTTAGTCCTAGTTTAGACCTGGTTAAAGTTCCTGATTTAGTCCTAGTTTAGACCTGGTTAAGTTCCTGATTTATCCTAGTTTAGACCTGGTTAAGTTCTTGATTTAGTCCTAGTTTAGACCTGGTTAAGTTCCTGATTTAGTCCTAGTTTAGACCTGGTTAAGTTCCTGATTTAGTCCTAGTTTAGACCTGGTTAAATTCCTGATTTAGTCCTAGTTTAGACCTGGTTAAGTTCTGATTTAGTCCTAGTTTAGACCTGGTTAAGTTCCTGATTTAGTCTTGATTTAGTCCTAGTTTAGACCTGGTTAAGTTCCTGATTTAGTCCCTTGATTTAGTCCTAGTTTAGACCTGGTTAAATTCCTGATTTAGTCCCTGATTTAGTCCTAGTTTAGACTTGGTTAAATTCCTGATTTAGTCCTAGTTTAGACCTGGTTTAAGTTTCTGATTTAGTCCTATTTAGTCCTAGTTTAGACCTGGTTAAGTTCCTGATTTAGTCCTAGTTTAGACCTGGTTAAGTTCCTGATTTAGTCCTAGTTTAGACCTGGTTAAGTTTCTGATTTAGTCCCTGATGTAGTCCTAGTTTAGCCGTGGGTAAATTCCTTATTTAGTCCTGGTTTAGACTGTGGATTTAGTCCTGGTTTACTGGTTTAGTCCAGATTTAGACTTGATTTAGTTGTGTTTTAGTTCCTAGTTTAGACTCTGGGCTTAATCCTGGTTTAGTCCATATGACACAGATGAATAAATGTCGATTAGAACGGCTCCTGAAAGCTTTTTCCAAAACTACGACAGATATTTTCTCAATGAAACCTCCTCCTTTCCTCCTTCTCTCTTTCTCTTCCTCCTCTTTCTCTCTCACCTTTATAAATCCCTGTATAATCCACTTAAACACAGTTCTGTCATTCCTCAAGGACGTCGCCGAGTTCCTGAGTCCTGAGTTTCTTGTGCATCAAAAAAAATAGAAAAAGTGTTTGTAATGTCCACACCTTTAGTTATTGATCCAAAATCCTGGTTTAGTTCCGGTTTAGGCTGTGAGTTTTGTGGTTTTGAATGAATTTTGGTTTAGTCCTGGTTTATACTATGATTTTGGTCCTAGTTTAGACCTGATTTAGTCCTTGTTTAGTCCTGGTTTAGTCCTGCTTTAGTTCCTGTTTTAGACTGTGGTTTAGATCCTAGTTTAGACCTGATGTAGTCCTGGTTTAGTTCTGGTTTAGTTCTGGTTTAGTCCTGGTTTAGTCCTGGTTTTAGTTTTTGGTCTTGTTTAGTTCCTAGTTTAGGTCCTAGTTTAGACCTGATGTAGTTCTGGTTTAGTCCTGGTTTATACTATGATTTTGGTCCTAGTTTTAGACCTGATTTAGTCCTTGTTTAGTCCTGGTTTAGACTGCGGTTTAGGTCCTAGTTTAGACCTGATGTAGTCCTGGTTTAGTTCCTAGTTTAGGTCCTAGTTTAGACCTGATGTAGTCCTGGTTTAGTTCCTGGTTTATTGTGGTTCAATCCTAGTTTAGACCTGATTTAGTCCTGTTTAACTCCTGTTTTAGTCTATGGTTTTGGCCTAGTTTCAGACCTGCTCTGGTCCTGGTTCAGTTCCCGGTTTAGTCTGCGGGCTTAAACTTGTGGACTGTAAATGCAAACAGGAGCTGGTATCTCCGTGTGACGTATGTGGATGTAAATTGTGGAGCAAACAGCCTCGAGGTGAGTCAACATTATCTCAATCAAACAGAGATCTCGTGTAATGGGCCCAAACAGACTTTAAGCCTCTGCTGTCGATGAAATGTTCATAAATATTCATACTGTAAGATTACGGACCAAGAAAATAATGAAAACTAAATCTGAAAACGTTTTATTGTCATTGTACCGAGTTTCAATATTTGCCTTAGTATAAATTATTATCTGATTTTCTGAACTTTTGTGGGTTTAATTGTGGTTCAATCTTTGTTCAGACTTGATTTCACCCTGGTTAAGTTCTTGGTTTAGTCCTGGTTTAGGCTATGGTTTCAGTCCTAGTTTGGACCTGATTTAGTCCTAGTTTAATCCAGGTTTAGTCCTTGTTTAGAGTTGATTTAGTCCTGGTTTAGTCCTTGTTTAGACTTGATTTAGTCCTGGTTTAGTCCTAGTTTAGTCCTAGTTTAATTTATTTACTTGTTTAGTCCTGGTTTAGTTCTTAGTTTAGTCCTTAGTTTAGACTTGATTTAGTCCTGGTTTAGTCCTGGTTTAGTCCTGTTTACTTGATTTAGGTTTAGTCCTAGGGTTTAGTCCTTGTTTAGACTTGATTTAGTCCTGGTTTTAGTCCTTGTTTTAGACTTGATTTATTTAGTCCTGGTTTAGTCCTTGTTTAGTCCTAGTTTAGTCCTAGTTTAATCCAGGTTTAGTCCTTGTTTAGACTTGATTTAGTCCTGGTTTAGTCCTAGTTTAGTCCTAGTTTAATCCAGGTTTAGTCCTTGTTTAGACTTGATTTATTTCTGGTTTAGTCCTAGTTTAGACTTGATTTAGTCCTGGTTTAGTCCTTGTTTAGACTTGATTTATTCCTGGTTAAATTGATGATTTAGTCCTTATTTAGACCTGATTTAGTCCTGGTTAAGTTCCTGGTTTAGACTATGGTTTCAGTCCTAGTTTGGACCTGATTTAGTCCTGTTTCAGTCTGGGGTTAGACCCGATTTAGTCCTGGTTAAGTTCCTAGTTTAGTCCTGGTTAGGAAGATGGTTTCAGTCCTAGTTTGGACCTGATTTAGTCCTGATTTAGTCCTTGTTCATATCTGATTTAGTCGTGGTTTAGTCCAGGTTTAGACTACGGGTTTAGTCCTGTTTACGCTGTGCTTTTAGTCCTAGTTTAGACCTGATTTAGTACTGGTGTAGTCCTTGTTTAGTTCTGGTTTAGACCTGATTTAGTCTTGGTTCAGTCCTGGTTTAGACCTGATTTAGTTCTGGCTCAGTTCCTGGTTCAGACTTTGGGTTTAATCCTGTTTTAAACCAGGTGAATTTGGTGTTGGAAGCCTTCAAAACTACAACACAAAGTTTACACACCTGACCACAGATTTTCTCAGTAATACCAGCTGCGTTTGTCTCGACTTCTGTAGTTTTTTTATGGATTAGTCTCAGATTTTTGACTTTTGACCGACCCGCTTCCCGTTGTCTTTCAGCTTGACGCGGACCGTGATGAGGAGGAGGTCTTCTGCGACATCAGACAAACTTTGGACAACAAACTCTTCGCTTCTTCAGAACCTGCAGCCGGTGAGTTTACACACTGAACCTCTACTTTTTCACAACTCATTTTTATTTTAGTGTTTCTTTACTGTAATGAAGTGAGTCTGTGAGTTTATTAATCAAGATGAATCAGAACTGAAGCAAACTGGCGAAACGTATTCCCTTTTAAACCTTTGTTCATGCGGGCTCGCCTCTCCGTAGATCTGACCTGTGGCTTAGCCTGGTCACCTGATTATTACCTGGTTCCCGAAGAATTGACCAGGTTTTGTGTTCACCCTGTGTGTCCATGTGTCTGTCCACCCACGATAATTCCACCATTTATGGACCGATTTTCACCAAATTTAATACGTGGGTCAAGCCCCCGTGCCCGATGCCGCAAAAAAAAGTTTGGCGATGATCCGAGGTCATTTGAGGTCACACGGGTCAATTAAAAGGCCACGCCATTATAAAGGATTGGCAGTTTCGGCAATTTCTGAGCCGTCTGCGGGCTAAAATATTCACCAAATCATCACAGAAGTTGGCTCACACATAACCGGGGTTTGGGCTGGGCTCCTCATAAGCTGCTTAAGTGGTGATGAACTGGCCCCACCGATGTCTCATGGGGGACCAGGTTGCTATTTCTGATTGAGCTTGTTTATACTGTGGAACATTCATTTATAGAGACTAGGGATGGGCATTCGATGAAATTTTCTTAATCGATCGTCGGAAGAATTAACGATCGATTATCGATTAGTCATTAACGTTTTTATATTAAAATGATCATCATTATTATTACTATCTGCACTACTAATCTGCATAAATACATTCAACTTTACGACATATAAACCGTAACGACTCTAGAGCCACATCAGCCTGTTTGACATTATAATGTGTTTAATTCAGTTTTGCGCAACTCTCACAGAAACAAAACTTAAAACCGCATCGCTAATTTGCATAAACTCAGCGAAGATAAAACTACAGCTCTTGTGTCGCTGATGCTGGTTCAACTTCTGTTGGATTAAAAGACATGACTCAGGTGAATACAGGTTAGTGTGACCAGATTTGCGTTTTTCAAAACCAGGACACCGTACGGGGGGAGGGAGGTTGGGACTCGTCATCGACATTGCGCGACTCTCACCTGGTAAAACTTTTTCCCACTGGACACCGAAACATATGTGCTGCTTTGTTCACTGTGCACATGGACTCACACTTGTCCCGAACGCAACAGAAAGCGTGGAATTTCTTGTACAAATCATCGTTAAATACACATTTGTGCTTCGGCACGTTGCAGACTGACCCACTGTTTGTGTTTGCTCGCTCCTTCTGAGTGCAGAGCTACATGTATGGACCCCTGTTTGGTCACGCTACGCACAGCAACCTACATTCGGTTTGTCGATTAAAATTAACGTAATCGATGAAATTCTTAATGATCAATTATCGATTAATCGATTAATCATGCTCATCCCTAATAGAGACCCAAAATAGTACATAGTTGGAACAGTTACGTTATGAGAAAGCTTTAATTCCGAATACTAATAATTTAATTCTGAATAAAAATGTATTCGTCTTTAAAAAGTCCATGTAAACACTTAATTCCTAGTGAAAATGATTATTCAGAATCAAACTTAATTCTAAAGTAAGTGCACCCACTTTCTTCAGAATTAAGTTTGATTCTGAATAATCATTTTCAGTAGGAATTAAGTTTATTCCGATTTTAAAGCCGAATTCATTTATTCCTTGATCATGTAAATGTTTATTCTTCTTAAAAATAATTCCAGTTGTTCAGCGCATGATGCAATCTGGACGATCCGGCTCCACCAGTCCTCGCTTCAGACTTTCATCCATTGCTCTTTGGATTTGCGAGCGGGATGAGGGAGTGGGCTGAGTTAGAGCAGCTGTTGACTCAGTTTGTCTTCCTCCTCCCTTGTCCGACACTCTTCCCTTCTTAAGCGTGATGAGAGAATTATCATTGGAACCACAGCGAAAAAAGTTTGGATCATGTTTGTGTCCGTGGCATAACGACAAACCGAGATGACAGAAAAGCCGATAGCAGCTGAAGTGTGTGTTTTCTTCCGGTCGACATAAAAATGTTCGCGTCCCTGTCCAATCCGTACCTTTCCAGACCCCCAGACGTTGAGCGGAATTAAATAAAGGCGATTTCACTACTGTAAAGTCATGGAAAATTCACTTTAGTTCATAAAAAAGTAATGGAAAAGTTTTGAAACTCCACGTCTGTTTTTGATGAAGAAACATTTTGACATTGACTATAAAATTGCGTAACATGGGCCCTTGAATATGTAAGAAAGATCACACGATATGGGACTTAAATGTCTGATACTTCCATGTCTGATTGCTCATTATGGCAAAACACATGGGAATCTTTATGTACTTTTACCAGCTTGTCCCTTGTGCTTAAACATTACGCTTATATTACTCAGACGATCTATAGACTCAGAGACCGGACTGTACTGTACTTCTTCTGCAGTACACAAGGATGATGGAGGAGAGGACAGTCTGAGCTCATGTGTTTTTTAGAGAAATAATAATGACAGATGGAGCTACTTTATAGATGATTCACTATGTAGACAGTATAAAGAAGTGGACTGAGGGAGTGTGACGCCACCTACAGCGTTCAGACAAATGAAGCTCATCGAGGCTTGCAGTGATTATGGATCATCTGTAACCAGGGACAATATTGGCTCTATTTATTCTTACGTCACAAACTTCTGGTGTAAGTCCCGACACTGGGCTCTTCCGACCGACTGTGATCAGGATCAGAATCATGGAGAATGGATTAATATGAACATTTTAAGACCAAAATGACAGTGGCTCACAGCAGCAGCAGCAGTTACAGAGAGAGGGGCCACGATATTCCAGTTTAAAGCTGGATGTACACTGTGCGATTTTTGGCTTTTTTTGAGCAGATTTTTCACTCGTTGGGATCGGGCCAAGTTTTCACTTAATCGTGTGTCGTGCTTTGTGTAGTAACATGGAGTAACGAGGGGCGTCGAACTCAAATTCACAGAGGACCAAAATTAAAAACTGGGACTAAGTCATGGGCCAAAGTAAATATTTATTGAAAAATGTCAACATCTGAATGTTTTCTCTTCTTTTGAGATATGTAATGTTAAACCTTTTCTTATTAAAATAAATGTATAATAATAGTTTTGCTTAAACATTGAATCCAGAACAAACATAATATAAAATAATAACATTTTAAATTAATAATATCACTATAGTTTATCTGTAGCCGGTGGGCAGCTCTAATACATATTTGATATGATCTGGCAGGCCAAATATAATAATATCGTGGGCCAAATTTGGTCCCTGGGCCTGAGTTTGACATGTCTGGATTAATACCTCATGACCAGCTCCCGAGCAGCAATTGTAGGTTACAAGAATATCAAACCTGTTTGAAATCCAGTCAGCTTTTGTGAGATTTTCGCTCTGTTGAAGTCGTTTGTATAGTGTGAGAACATGAATCGTGGGTTGTGAACTTTTAAACCCTGCGATTTGGTCGTTCAGTTTGAGCACAGTGTATATCCGACATTAGTCAATTGGAGCCAGAGTCAGAAGGACCCGGAAGAGCACATTAGTTATGTTCATTTATATATACAGTCGATGGTAAAATCAGGTAACATGGCACACGGTCCAGTCCAATCTGTCAAAGTCTTTCCTTGTTAAATAGGCGCAAACTTTAAAACTTCATTACAGCCAAACAAACCTGCTTCACAAAATGTCACTCTTCACAGCGTCTAACTCATTTCAATTACACACCTCCATGGCTGCAGGTATCAGAGCATATGACCACCGACGGAAGCCCAGCTGGGACATGCCGTCTTCTGCACAAAATTAACGGGCAAAAACAGGCCATGATTTATAAACTTACCTACATCATTTTCACCATGACCTCTTTACAGTTGCCACTTGTATATAGGCTCTTCATTTATGCTTTTCTCATCTGACCTATTTTAGTTTTGTTTTCAGCTTGTTTTCTCATTATGGACAGAACAAATGAAGCACTTGAGAAATGTGAATACTGTACTAACAGAGCCATATGTTTTATGTGAACACAACAAACATATGGCTCATATGTTTGTACTGTCACCACAGAATGAGTCTGGTGATTATGGATTTAAAAACCATATGAGACATCTGTATTTCTGCCTGTGAAGTAATTAAAATGCTCACAGTGCATTCCTGAATTTTGCTAAAAGAAGACTTTGGACTAATGGATCAATGAAACAAAATACAACTCCAGGTTTGTTTTTGATTAGGGGTCAACAATTAAAGCTCACTAGGGATGGGCATGATTTTGTCGACTAATCGATAATTAAGAATTTCATCGATCAGGTTCATTTTGTGTTGCTGTGAGGAGACGAGGCTGTTTCTGACACAAACACTGGAGCTGTGGCCTCACAGTCCCACATTTGGACTCTGGCTCCTTGGAGACACTGAACCTCTCAGTGAGTGTGTTTACAGCACATCAGTGTCCCGGTTTGATCGGGGTTTTTGAGTTTCCCGGTTTCATCATGGTGCATGTAAACGCAGTATCCCAGTTACTGCAACATAAAGCTGAGTGTGCATCCAAAAGACAAACACTTTTCAGTCTTTTCATCACAACTTTAGCCAAAATAAATAAAGTGACCAACATAACTGAAGTGAGTGAAATGATGTTAAAGAGCTGCACACATCTGATCTCTGAAAACATGAACCATCTTCAGCGCGACACACACACAGAACAGACTCACCACCATCATCAACATCATCTGTCACAGAGAAAACACTCATATTCCACTGAGTCGTGTCCTTTAGTCCCACAGAAGCTGAACTGCATCAGCGCACAAGGAAAGAGCTGTTTTTTCAGCACTTATGTTTATGCAAATTAGCCATGTGCTTTTTAAGTTTGTTTCAAACTATTTTGTTTTCAAACACATTCAACAAATGTGTCAAAGCTGCATTAAACACATTATAATCTCAAACGGGCTGATGTGGCTCTAGAGTGGTTATGGTTTATATGTTGTAAAGTTGAGTTTATTTATGCAGAT